ATGACTCTCTCCTTCTCTTCTCTGGAAGCACGTGTTGTGGAACCTTCGCAAGTGCAGATGATGGGTTCATGGTATGAATCCAATTCATCCCATAAGGCCTTGAGCTTGGTGTAATACTCTGAAACCGAAAGATGGCCTTGTCGATGTTCGGCAATTTCTTGACGGATTTGGTAAATCCGGGAGTCGTTGCCTTGTGAGAACCGATCTTTAAGATCATTCCACACCATGGATGCGCTGGTGCAGTAAAGTACGCTGCTTGCGATGTCGGGTTGTAGTGAGTGCAAAATCCAGGATAACACCATATCGTTGCATCTCTGCCAAATGGAGAATTTGGCATCAGTTTTTGCTGGGGCTTTGATAGTCCCGTCAATGAAACCTAGTTTGTTTTTGGCGCTCAAGGCAATTCGCATCGAGCGACTCCATTGACCATAGTCATGGCCTTCGAGAGGTTTCGAAACTAGAACCAGACCGGGTGAGTCGGAATGGTGTAGGATAAGTGGATCAGACATGTTGATTTCAGATCCGGATGATTTTTCATCACCCATGTTGATGGGCTGTGTAGGTTGGTTTTGGTAGCGGAAGACGTGCTAGACAGAGTCACCTATGTTGGTGCTCTGATACCATGAAAGAATGTAGAAAGCTGTATGTATTGTATTGATTCCTTGAGATCGCAATGTACAAGATTTATACAGAATGAAAGTTCTATTCTAAGTAAGCATGGAATCTATTCTAAGTATGTAAATCACAATAGGTGTAATGACCGTAAACTTAGCTAATTACTAAGATTGAGGCAATCACAATAGTTGACCAATTTCTTCCCTTTAACAGTTGCTGGCTCCGTCACCATCATCCTCTCCGCCAGCGCCGAGCTCCGCTCGAATCCGAACGAGTGCGACCGCTTCAGGATGAAATCTCTGCTGTTGATCAAATAATCCTCCCAGTAACAGGCGTGTTCTTGCCTCGCAGATACACCAACCCTGCTCTTGAGCCTTGCAAGAAAGCAGTTACTAATGGGAACTCTTTGCATTTTGAAATTGAGATTCTGAAACTCAACTATTTGTGATTAGGATCGTTTTGTTTCAATTAGGAACTATTTTGTTTAACATGTTGTGTTTAAATGATAGGTTTCCCAACTGTTCTGCTCCCAGCCAAGGTAGTTCAAGCCCTCAACTTGAACTTTGAGGATATGAACAGTTAAGCTCCGCCGCGTTTCAACTCCGGTTTGGCCCCAGATCATGGTATGCCCCGTTATTTCCATTTATGTAAAGTTTGGTATTTCAGATCTATCTATCAATCTAATAAATTTTGTTGGTTTGAAAAAATCAACTCGGAAAGGAACAGGGACTGTGGCGGGCATTTGGGAAAGTCGGGGCTATCAGGTGTCTTCATTCAAGCAATACATATATGCAATTCTATTTGTGCTTTCAGCAAGTAGGCGATCCAAATCTATGGTTTCTATCAATCTGAAACCATACCAATTGTTCTTTAAAACGTGACCAAGTTCTCGAAGTCTAAAGTTGCAAGAGTTGGGGAGGAGAGGTGATGGGTGGTAGTTTGGGTGGTTGTTTTGGTGGCTGGAGTAGCTGGGTTCGCTAAGAGAGAGAGAGAGAGAGAGAGAGAGAGAGATTTTTTAAAATAATTTAAATCGGAAAATAATTTTTTTATTAATTTTTAATCCATGTGGAAGTCCACCTCATCAAAAAAAGGAGTCTCACTTTTGACACATCAGCATTTAACAGACTGACTAATAGTCTGGCTAACGAAAGGGGCAATGAGAGAGAGAGAGATCTTTTAAAATAATTTAAATAGGAAAATAATTTTTTTATTAATTTTTAATCCATGTGGAAGTCCACGTCATCAAAAAAAGGAGTCCCACTTTTGACACGTCAGCATTTAACAGACTGACTAATAGTCTGGCTAACGGAAGGGGCAATGACAGGACCCGTCACGGAATTCTCCTAAAATTGGGGCAAATCCCATCTTTTTGCCGACATCACCCCGATGGCGGGCCCACTTACTAAAAGCTGAGACTTCCCACCAAAAATTTGGCAGTCTCCCCTGAAATTATGCACAAACCCAACAAAATTCAACATGCATAATATACATAATATGAATCCCAACTGCTAGCATGCTTCAACATACAACAACAAAAGAAAATAAATGGCCTCCGACCTCAAGTAAACACCTAACATGGGCAATAACACAGTATATAACAGAATTAGTTTACAACAACAATTGAGTATAAGGAAATTACGCAGATCCTAACTAGGGAAGTAAACGATTCAGCCTCGAACACCGCTTGCAAGCTTCCATAAGCGACTACTGTCTGGGGGGCGCAAAATAGAAAATATGTGAGTGGACAAAAACAAAGTTTACATTTAAAACAACATAATAACCCTACCGTGTAAAAATAATACTCAAGCATGCAATTTCATACATCATAATCAAATACTCAACAACATAAATCCCAAAAATTCATTTAAACCCCAAACTCTCAAACCACAACTCCAATCCCAATATTATACAGCTCTTACCAACCCACTACATACAAATATATATATATATATATATATATATACACACACATATAATATAACACATACTTCTCTCAATACTTATGTACCGGGGAAACAATCCAACCGGGAGATTGTTTGGCTAGTACGCAGGATTTCCAGGTGCTAACCTGCGTCAGGGGATGAGTGGTCCAACTGGGGGACGGAACTCCATAGCTCATACGCCGGCACTACCAACGACACGTGTAGCTCAAATACTCAAATACCAAGTCCTACGCGCGCAGACCACACCATCACACACCGGCACTGCCAACGACATGTGTGATGATTCCAAGCAATATATATATATATATATATATATACTCTTCCCATACGTCGGCACTGCCAACAGCGCGTATGGGAAGTGTCTTACACGCCGGCACTGCCAACGAAGCGTGTAAGACCCACAATCACATGTTCTCCCCACACGCCGGCACTGCCAACGACACGTGTGGGAAGCCTAGTAACCAGGGGATGGTACTAACACAGTGTAATCATATATTTTCTCTCAACACCTCCTCATACTCGTATCTCTCCACAATCTCACATCAACAACTCACATATCCCACACATAAACCATATATACAATATAGATAGTATTTCCCAAAATCCACACACATGCTCTCAGTACTCAAATATGTCGAACCCACAATATATTGCCAAAACGCTATACAAACATCAATTTCAACAACCAAATATATATTATATCACAATTACCATTTAAAACATATGCATAAATCTTTTGTCAGTAAAACCATGCGTATGATTGAAAACAAAGTCCACACAAAAGTAATCCCAAGCTGCTCGACCCTGAGAAAGTCCTGCCTGCTGAGTACGATTGAACTGAGCACCTATTTCAAGATACGAACCCTTAATTAATATAAAATCACTTCGAAATGAAAATCACAAATTAAATACTAAAATCCCCAAATTCCCAATGCGTGTACGCAGAATGGGATATTCTAAGGTCCGATTACAGATTTAGAAATCGCTCACAAAAGGACGGTTATCGCTAACCCACAAACTTTGAATTATTGAATCGGAACATCTGGGACTCCGATTCACGATCTGCGAATTCCTATAGAATTCTAAGAGTACCTAGCTCAACTTACTTCAATTTGGAAATGATCCAACAGTCAGAAACTATCGAACCCGGATAACGCACAATATACGAAATCTGTTCAATAGTCAAACGACATCCAAATTGAGATCCGCGAAATCCTACGCACTTGTGACAACTTGAGGATCTCATCAGGACGTATTGCAGCTTCACCAACCTTGCCCACGCTCTGCCACACTCGCTGGCAGCGTGTGGGTGTGTAGAGTAAATTCCGACAATGGAAAAACTCCACACCACAGCTCACCCTTTCTATCCTAGGTACGGTTCGAGGCAAGGATCACTTCCTTCAACTACGGGGAGGTCCAATTCAGACGGCAACTTGCCGGAATTTCGCTTTGAAAACCAGCCAAAACCTAGCTTCCAAAATTAACTTCCAAACTTCAAAATCGTTCCAATCCTACCCCATAGGCAGCTAGAACTCAGAAAATGGATGAGAAACCATACCTTACTCGTCGGAATTGGTGGTCGGAGGAGAGAGATCGAACGGTACAAAGTTCTGTCAAAAACCGGCTTGTTCTCAAGCTTAATCCGGCGGTTTGCGACGATTCCCGGGGTGGAGATGGGTCAGAAGTGGAAGAGGAGAGTGGCCTGGTTTGTTTGGGACCGGTGCCGTCGATCAGGGTGGCCGGAGATGGTGGTGGTGTGGGTGATTCCGTTCGGGTGAACAGTAACAGGATAGGAGGGGGTTTTGGCACAAAGAGAGGAGAGCTCAGGAGAGAGAGAGCGAGTGTGTGGGTAGAAAGTGAAAAATCAGATTTTAACTCTAACTCTCTTCGAAATAATTACGGTTTCGCCACCAAACTTATTTTGATCGCCAAATCTTCGTTACAACTCCGATTCAAGCCTACCGCATGTCTACGGATTCGTCTAAGTACCACCTATGCAACCAAATCACTCGTTGTCCCAAAGTCCATCCGGATAAGAAAATGACCAAAAATACCCCTACCCTATGGGTAAATTGTAAATTCCCTTAAATAAATTAAAATATGAATTAAATTTGGAGTCGGGGTGTTACAGACAAATTGTAGGTTTTCCGAGACTTTGAGTATGTACTCGTAAATGTTCCCAAAATCGGATATGCACTCGTAAATGACCCTATAGGTTGCGGGTTTACTGTAGTTTACCCAAATTTTTTTTTTGAATTTTTAACAAAAATTTCGACGTTGTTCAAATAAAACCGCTTATGAGCTGAAAACGGCCCTAACTAGCAACATTTAAGTAAATTAATTAATTGCATTATGATGACTATAAATAAATAAATTTCTTTGTAGTTTCCTATTCATTATTCTTAAAGTTTAACGCTACACATATATGACAACAAAAGTAGAGATTATTGCCAAAACCACATTCATGGTGGCCAAAGCATTCCTTTTATTAACTTAGGATTGAAAATTACATTCATGATCTAGCCACGTACAACATAAAACAGACATAAAAATAGACTCTCAGAGCCAATGGCTTTTCTTTCAGTACATAGAAGCTTAGAAGCTACGTACAAGCCCGACAAGACAAGCTTATTATATTTTACAATAACACCACCAGAATTACAATAATTCAACCTCTTAGCCACCGTAAATCAAAGGATTTGGCCTTGGCCCGAAATCTGCTTTTGTTGCAAATGACTGCTTAGCTTTAGGACCAGCATTGTCTTTGGAAGAGAGCTTCGCTTTAATTTCATGATCATTGTAGGATGTGGTACTGGGTCTGGGTTCAAATTCCTCAACCTCAACCTCAACCTCAACCTCAACAAAAGGTTTTTTCACTTTTTCATGGCAGTCGGCTTTCTCTTTTGGTGTTGAATCAGAAATATCAACAAGGAGGCCTTCAATTGCCTGTGGCATAGGTTGCTCTTTCATGACATTTTTCCAGTATTTCCCGACATCTCTTCTTGAATCTATTGTTTTGGCAAACTGTTCCACAAGACAAAGAAAATAAAAACAAATAAAAAGAAATTTCTAAGGCATTCTAAATGATCAGTTGAAATCTGTACTGTCAATTTAGATAACATATTTGACAAAAATTCACTTCAAATTGACAATTTGACAATATAATATGACATACGAAGAGAAATGTTCTCTTACCCTGTGTGGCAATATAAGATGTTTATATCGCTAGAATGTGAATATAAACTATTAATCAAGTTGATAATTTCTAGAATGTACGGTCTAAGTTTACAGTATGACAACATAAGTTAGAGTCTGATAAGAGAATATTTTCATGCAAGCATAATATAAGATTTTTGGTTGCATTTGTCTTGTCAGTCCTATATATCTAGCAACTTCTTGGCTTTAAAAATTGGTGACTTCATACAACAATAGGAAGAAGGGTATTATACAAATACTTACCAAAAGAAGAGAGAAAAGAGCTAAGATAGCACAAAGGGACTTCATGTCTACAAATGTTATGCAAAAGAGTTCTTTGTAGTTGTATTTTTGAAGGATATGTAACCTCACTACTTATAGATAATTTACTAGAACGAAAGCATCAAGGCAGGCAGGACCTAATTATGGGCCCTAGATTTGTTTTTGAAGAATGGTCCCTATAATTTTGATAATCATACTTTGGAACAAATCTGGGACGGATCTAATTATGGGCCCTAGATTTTTGGAAGGTTTCTAAAGTAGGTATGCCATGCTTTTCTATGTAGTCTAGTCGCACATTTTTTGTTTTTGTTTTTTATACAGGCAATATTAAGGAAGCAATATTACTGAAGAAGAGAATTAAACTTTGGACCTCAAATACAACAGTAAATATTCTTAACAACTTGAATTACAAGGAATTATAAGCATCGCGCAAGTAATTAATGAAAATTTTGACGATGAAGTAAATGTCGGAACTAGATTGCATAAAATTAAAAAACTTAGGGTATGCAATCTTTAAAGTTGAGAGTGCAGGGACAAACGTGCCTTAAAAATAAGAGTTTAGGATATTAGATTGAAATTAACCCTTATATTACATACGTAACTATATCAATCGGCTTCTCATTTATATGTTTTGCTTTGTCTTATGGGGCTATCATTTATGTGGTTTATAATTCATATATAATTGTCTTTCACGAAGTACGACGAAACCAAAGCAATGAGTACATCAGAATAATCAAACGAAATCAGGATCAATGAAAGAAGATAACCTACTCTTGGCCTTTTTTGTCTTGTGTAAAGTGAGCAATTCAATCAAGGATTCTCATTTTATTACCCATTTCATAATAAAGAGATCACTTTATTCATATACCTATTAGCTTTTAATTTAGTAATATTTATTTTTTCTATAGTTCAAATCTAACTCCCCTCTTCGTTTCATTTAAAAAAATCTAACCCCCTCTTCCGTTAAAAAAATCAATTCATATACTTTAAATATATTAATAATCATCATTTTAGAACAACCATAGACTGTTTACATAATCTATTAAAAATTAATCTAATTAAATAAATAATTATGAAAAATACAATGCCTATAGCTTGTTTTCTTTTTCTTTTTAACAGAATAACTTCAAATCTTTGATATATATTTTTAAAACCAATCCAATACTTCATTAGGGGTTACGTAGATAGCCTTTTTTTTTTTTTTTTTTTTTTTTGTAATTTGTTTTTATATGTGTGTTTCTCTCAATTATGATATATTTTTTTATTGAGAAATTTTGGCATTTCATTTATAATTCAGCCAAAAAGGTCACTAGCCACAAAGGGCAAATACAAACTAGCCATAAATGGCCAATACAAACTATCAACAAAGGGTCATTACAATAACATGGTGATCTAACGTCAAACTCTCATAAAAAAAGAAGTGGAAAACTCTCACAAAAGGAGAGATGAAAACTACACAGAAAACTCAAAGAGTCTCTACGACTTATTCTAAACATAAAGAAACCGCAAAAAGTATATGTGACAATTCGATGGTGAAATACAGGTGGAGTTCTGACGCCAAGACGCATCCACCTGTGATGGGTGGAGGAAATTCATGACAAAGCAAAGACAAAAACGGGAAACTTTTTATCACTGAAAATTGGGGAAGAAAAAGAAAGGAGAAGGGAGGAAGAGAGAAGCGAATTGGGGAGGAAGAGAGGAGGGGGAGATGGGAGAAAGAATAGTGGCTTCCTCCCCTCAATTATGATATCTATAATTGTTGATTTATTTTATTTTTTTATTTTATTTTTTTTTGTATGAACGAAAACTTTATTGATCAATAATAAGATAAAAAAAGTCAGGAAACAACATGATTATGCAAGATAAATTTCAGTCATAGCATCGTTATATGAATGACCCCAACCCTTCGACTTATATGCTCTCCAATTTATTTCCTAAATTGTAAGCAAATGAGATATTGTGACAAAAAAAACCTCGAAAATGAAAATAATATGGTTGGAATCTCTAAAATTTGTTATAGTTTTATATCTATAAGTCCAAGTAAAGATTGTCTACTAATAGCATATGCTGGTTAGGTTAATTGACATAGTTTAATTATTACATTTAGAAGAGATCAGAGACATATCTAAATATGTGAGCCCTACATTTTTTGAAGGTTTCTAATAATTATGTCGACGAGTCCACATACTTTATGCATATGACAAGACTCCAAATATGTTCTTGAGCTCCAATAATTATAATTTATATCGACGAGTCTTGTTTTGATAATTATGAATATGACCCCTTAACTGATCTTAATGGCATTAATCCAAAACTATCCACTTCAATGTCCACATATTTACCAACAAAAATGGGGCTCTACTTGTACCCACTTCAATGTTCATATGTTTCACACATGCACGGGGCTCTACTTGTATATAATTTCTTGTTTCTTTTGGGACCTCCAATACTGCAATAAAATAAGCATTCTATATTTGACAAGTGACTTGCATGATTATGGACATATTTTCATTGTGATTAGCATCGGGCAAAATCCTTTGAGGAGGGTCATTGTTTGCAAAGGATTTGGTCTGTTTATCCTATCATAACTCTTATGTTGTACCATTGTAGTTTGATAATCAGAATCTTCTATCTTTTAGGCGACCGTTTAAACTCCAAAAATATAACGGAAATTATTTAGTCATCTAATTAGTATCAAATAAATAGACAAATTTAATATTTTGATTAAACAATTAATTATCATGGTTTAATTAAATGACTAACCGATATCTAGTTTGGTTGAATTTTTTTATTTTGTAGGAATGATTGTTGAATGATGATTTAGAAAATTAATTTAATTAAAGAAATAATTGTGGAAATACTATAACTAGAGCTTTTTTTTTTTTTTTTTTTTCTCTTTTTAACAGAATTGTGTACTTCAAAATTTTTTACACCAATCCTATACTAGTACTTCATCAATGGCTGCTTATGTAGATTTCTGTTTTGAACTTTTTTTTTTTTTTTTATATGTGTTCTTCTTTATAAGAAAATTATATGAATTTTGTTTCCACCCCTACGGGTTAGGGCAAGGGCAATTACTATTCACATGAGATATGAGGAGATGAATTTCTATAAAGTTTTTGGTGTGGGAAGTAAAGAATATAGCTAGGTATTTATTTTAAAAAATTCTGAATATTTTGGTTTTTTTTTTTTCAATTTTTTTGGTTGCTGACGTCACTATGACATCAGCATTGTGTCAACAGCCTTCGGGCAACAACCTAGGCAATTCTTGCCCATGGGCTTGCCTGGGCTCGTGGGACCCACCCATTGCTCGGGCTGGACTTGGCCTGCTGGAGCTGCAATTTGGCCCTTGAGCCCCCTCTTGCCCGGGTATGCCCTACGCGGTGGACTTGCCCTTAAAGTTTAGTTTTTCCTAGGGAAATAATTTCTTTGAGAAATAGCTTTTATACGTCTAGATAGTCAAAGATTAGAACTTTATATATCTTTGTGGTGGCTCTTTCAAAATTACCAGATGAACAAATGGCAAGGACTTTTAACAAGGGAAGAAACATGGCTTCAGGACTTGCTCTCTGGAGCCCCTCCCTTCATCTACTTGTGCTTGTTATGGTAACTTCAATTTATTCCCACTCTTCATATTCTTATCATTTAATTGAGGGAAATTTGATGATGCCGCAGCATAGGAATCTCTTGTTCTAATAACTGTTAGTTTTCCTTTAAATTTAAGCTTTTTCTTTCCTTTTCTTTTTTGGTTTCTGCTTAAATATTGTGCAGTGTGTTCAAGGAGCTGGAGGCAGGAAGATGAGTGAGACACAAGATGGTGATGGCCATGAAACGACAAATACAGAGAATGCTCATGCTCATCATCCATCATCCCACATGCATCATCACATGGACCCTTCAGTTATGATTTTCTTCACCTTGGAGGATCTAAAGGAGGGCAAAACCATGGCCATCTATTTTCCCAAAAGAAACCCTTCAAAATCCCCCCACTTGTTACCAAGAGAAGAAGCTGATCAAATTCCTTTCTCATCAAAACAACTCCTCCACCTCTTTCACTTCTTCTCCTTCTCTCAAGACTCTCCCCAAGCCAAGGCCATGGAAGACACTCTCAGGGAGTGTGAGATTCAACCCATCAAGGGAGAGATCAAGTCCTGTGCTACATCCCTAGATTCCATGCTTGACTTCACTCGTGGTGTCTTCGGATTGGACACCCCTTTCAGTGTTGTGGCCACAATCCATCTCACAAATTCAACTACCAATTTCCAGAACTACACTATTTTAGAAGAGCCCAAGGAGATTTTGGCTCCCAAGATGGTGGCTTGCCACACCATGCCTTACCCTTACGCAGTTTTCTACTGCCACAGCCAGAAAAGTGTGAACAAGGTTTTCAAGGTTTTGTTGGGTGGTGAGGATGGAGATAGGGTAGAAGCTGTTGCTGTTTGTCACTTGGACACCTCTCAATGGAACCCTAATCATGTATCTTTCAGTGTGCTTAGGACTAAGCCAGGGGCTTCTGCTGTTCATCGTCCCTAACGTTAATATGAGTGCTCTTAAATAGTCCATTTGTCAAAAAAATTGTTAAATCCAGGGATATAATCGTCAAATCAATCCAAAATTATAAAATATATATTTTTTTTATTACCTTCCCTTCTCTCTTTCTTTCTTCTTCTTCTTTCTCTCTTTCTTTTCTTCTTCTTCTTTCTCTCCCCGCCAGTATCATATTGTGGTGTTTTGTTGGAAAATTAAATTATTCTCTTTAGGCCTGGTCCTCTTGTTATTCAATGGTTGTAGAAACTAAGCAACGAATAAACAATAAAGGTGGTTGCTGGGAGCCCTACACCAGGTCATTAAGAAAACATGTCCAAAACCAGAGCAAACCAAAACTTTGCTTCAGGTTACATTTACTTACGACACCATCAAAGATATGTCCCATGGAAAGAGCCTAGAGAAGGCATGTCTCTCATCTGCTCTGCACAAATTTGCAGTTAATTTGAATTTCATTAGGGCAATACTGAAATTTGGGCACAATTAGAAAGAAGAAAGAAGAAGAATAGATATTTGGATTGATTTGACGA